GGTGATGAGGTGGGGGGGGGGTAGTGGTGGTGGTAGGGGTGTGGGGAGGGGGCAGGCTGAGGTCCAATAACAGTTCTTTGTGAATAGAAGGAACCAACTTCAGTCTGTAGGGGAGAGGGGAGGCCCTTTGTCTTCCTTTCACAAGGGAAGTCGGGGCAGGATCAAGGGGGACGGGAGTAATTATAGGCCCAAGTCTCCTAGGGCCCCATCCCTCCTTTTCCTCCAAGGGTCTGGCGGCAGAGGTTGCAGAAGCTGGTTACACCTAAAGATTGTAGGTGGTTGGCAAGACTCTTTGGGAAAGCTCCCTCGAAGAGCCCAAGTATTCTAACTCTCGCCGCTACTGTAAGACCCAGCCCCGCCCTCCCTCCTGGTCCACCCCATCTCATCCTCGCTCCACCCACTGGGGTTCCTCCCCTTCTAGCTCCGCCCATAACTTTGGTCTCAGGGTCCCTTGGTTCACTCATTTTCAGGAACGCTAGTTCCCTTCCATTTGCTCCTGCCCGCTCCTTGTTCTTTCTTTGCCCCAGCTCTGCCTTGCCTCGCCCCTAATTTTTGTCCCCTGCTCACTCTGGGAAAGCCCCAGCTTCTGACTGGACTGTCTTATCCCGTCCCTTTAGGGCAATGACAGCCTTTCCTCCCCGCCACCCCACCATCTCCCAGTTCTTGGGTCTCTGCTGTCGCGCTCTTCGATGAGAGGGCCCGTGGCCTGCCCCGAGGCCCCTGCCCCTGGCCTCATCGGTAACTGGATCGCCGGCCCCGACCGGGCACCTTCAGCACGTGCTCCTTGTTAATACTGTCGTAGAACATCTTGGCGGACTCCTTGATGGGGATGCCACTTTCCCTCTTCCAGGAGATGTTGGGTTTGGGGTTCCCCTGCACCCGGGCTCGGAACACGGCTTTATCCCCTGCAGTGGGCACAGGACACATGTTCACATGTTAGCCTCCAGGATGTGCCTTCTGCCTGCTCCCTGCCTCCTCGCAGGGTTCCTGCCGCAGCCCAGGCAGGAGAGGAACCACTGGCTTGGTTCTGACAATGTTTGTGTATTGGGGGACAGCAGTAGTGGTGATGGTGTCTGGGACAGTGGGGAAGAAAGGGGAGCACCCAGGGATCTGGGGAGACACAGGGTGGGGGCGGGGGGTGACGCACCCTCGGGCGCAGTGACCGGGTAAGGCTTCTCCACGAACTCGGGAACGCTCTCGCCCGCAGGGATGTTGGAACTCCGGGTCACCAAACTGAAGAACTCTACGGTGCTTGAGGATTTCCTTGTCGTGACTTCCTCTGTGGCAGCAGACAAGAGGTCAGAATGGGCTCCAGGTAGAGCTCAGCTCGGAACTGGAGGGCTGGCCTTTTCTTGAAGGGACGGGGGAGCACTTGAGGCCAGCACCACAGGACCGGCTTTGGCCAGGAAAGGAGACCTTTAGGAAAAAGGAACCCCTGCACACTGCTAGTGGGAATGTCAGCTGGTGCAGCCACTATGGAAAACAGTGTGGAGTGTCCTCAAAAAATTAAGAATAAAATTACCATATGACCCAACAGTCCCTCTTCTGGATATCTACCCAAAAAATTTGAAAAACATTTATTTATAAAGATATGTGTACCCTTATGCTCATTCACGGTGGCCAAGACAAGGAAACAACCGCTTTGGTAAATGATTGGATAAGGAAGATGTGGTACATATATACAATGGAATATTACTCAGCCATAAGAAGAGATGAAATACTGCCATTTGTGACAACATGGATGGGTCTTGAGAATATCATGCTAAGTGAAATAAGTCAGAAAAAATTGAGAGTCATTCGATTGCACTCACACGGTGGATGGAAAACTGAAAGCAACAAACAAACAAGACAAAGAAAAAAACTCAGACACAGACAGCAGTATAGTGGTTACCAGAGGGAAAGGGGGAAGTGGGGAGGTAGGTAAGGGTGAAGGGGGTCAAATGCATGGTGACTGAAGGAGTTTTGACTCTGGGTGGTAAACACATAATGCAATATACAGATGATGTATTATAGAATTGTACACTTGAAACCTATGTAATTTTGTTAGCCAAGGTCACCCCAATAAATTTAATTTAAAAATAAAACCTAAAAAAAAAAAAAAAAAAGGAGGGCCTTAGAGTCCATGGGTCATTGCATTATGGCAAGTTTCAACCACCAGGAAGAGCCAACTGCTCTCCCATCCCTTAATGGTCTATCACCCTTATTGGGCCTTGGCCCTGAGTCCTAACTTTGTTTTTGTTTTGTTTTTTTTTTTTAAAGAAGAAACTTCTCTTTGGGGATTTTCTTGATTTCTTGTGCTTCTCCCCTGGTCCCCCAGTAGCATTAGGAGGGGGCTGGGCCTGTCCTTGCTCAGGAAGCCTGGAAGCTTAGCTGAGCTCTGCTGTGGGCCTCCTCCCCACCCTTTGGTGGGTTTAGCATTCACTGCCATGGGAGTAGTGATTCCTGAGGGACAGGAAACATACCCACTTCATTGGGATTATATATGGGAATCTCATTATCAAAGAGCATATGCAGTGTGGTAACATCATTTTATATCCAGGAAACAAAAAGTTGTTTGTGTCAATATAACCTACACTTCACAACATCTTCTTGGCTAGTGAGTTAATAACAATTGTTCTGAATCGTGGAGTCCTTTTCTTGTGGAAAGCACAGAGATTACTTTATTTAATCCTCATAATGCCCCAGTGAAGTGGGTACGTTTATTATCCCCACCCATCTGAAGGACTGAGAAGAAGAAAGTGGATTGAGAAGCCCCGCGGCCTGCTGTTAAACGGTGGTCAGAGGGCTCCAACGAGCAGTGCGCAGGCTGCAGCCGGCCTGCACGCATGCTTTATTCGACCTCAACCATGTTTAAACAAAAAGTAGCCCTCCATATACAAATGGAGAGGTTTCACATAAAAGTTCAGATTTCTAGATTCTCATATTCCCATACGGTAACAATTAGTGGTGGGCGAATGTGACCGCCCCCTTAGACTGGCTATGTCCTCTCCGGTTCACTTCAGTCTTTTTCCTGCACTTATGTTCTCTGTTGGACTGTACCGGCCAGTGGTTTTAAACTTTGGCTGCATATTAGAATCTCTGGAGAGCTTTAAAAACAAATAAACAAAACAACTATTTATACACACCTGATTTAACAGTTGGGTGAAATTCAGGTATTGCTATTTTTTTCACCCCTCCCCCTCTTCCCTACCACACTAAGATGACTCTAACATGCAGCCAGCACTGAGAATCACTGCTATAATTTGAGTTCTCAACTTCTGGTCTCGAGTCCCAGTTCCATTTGTTCTGCTTTGCTGACCAGGAGGGGTTGGTAGGGTGTGTCTATCTGGCCTTGACCTCTGTGCACAAAGAACTTTGAGTGACTGCCTCTCCAGGACTCTGAGGGAGGGGCAGTGACTGAGAGGATGGGTATTCAATATCCTGGCCCCTGGCCATCTTTTAATCACTTTTCTCTAGAGACAGGACTAAAACAATTTGTTTTGCTCTGAGACCATTTCTCAGCTTTCCCTTGGATCTGCCCTCCCCCAGGTCTGGTCCCAGGGGCTGAGAGCTTGAAAGCTTAGGTCACTTGTTTATGTGTTCATCTCTCCACTGGCAGTTCAAAGTCTCTAATTTATTCTTAAATGGAGCAGAGTCAGCATTACTCACATGTAGACAAGGTAGCTACCTCCCTAACTTCCTCCATACTGAAATTCTACCATCGAAGATAACATGCTTTTGCCTATGCTCTTCCCCTTAAGCAATCAAGAATTCATTAATTACTCACACCCAGGCATGTGACTGATTTTTCTTAAGCTGTTTTCCTGGAGATCTAATCTGTGGGTGAACATCCAGCCGGCTGAAGCTTTATCAAAGCACAGATTAGAAGCACGGGTTGAGAGAGGGTTGTTCTTGGTATCTTGGGCTCCTGAGGGGCCCAGTAGTCACAAAGACTGAGGTCACTCAGGAGGTGGATGTGGAGGAAGAAAGTCTGCCCCTTTCTGATTCCCCTTCTCCCCTGATTCTACTTGCCTCCCACGATCTTGGTTGTCTGGGAGAAGGTCTGCACGTGGGTGGCGGAGCTGGAGAACTCCATGGACACGTGCTCCTGCAGCATCTGCTTGTGGTGAATGGTCGTCATGGTGACAGCAGGCGTGGGCACTCACCTGGGAGGACAGGGAGAAGATGAGGCCATGAAGGAAAAGGGAGTAGGAGGGAGATTCAGAGATGTTCGCGCGCGCGCGCGTGTGTGTGTGTGTGTGTGTGAAGGGATGGGTCGGGTGGACATAAGGGGAAATGGCTGTGCAAAGGAGAGGGTGAGGAGAGGTCAGGCAGCAAGCCTCTTCTCTCTGGCCTCTGCCCTTTCCTTTATATCTCACTTTCCCAGGCTGGTTACAAAGACCAATGGGCCTGTCCCCCAGCGAGTAATCCTAAACTGTTCCAAGTTCTGAGAAGGGGAGGATGTAGGGCTTAGGTTTACCCAGTAAACCAAATAAGGCCCAGAGGGAGTTGAGGATGTCTATTAATAGCTACATGGAACTAAGGAGGCAGTACTGGAGGTTTCATCAAAAGGAAGTGAAGTCGGATCTTATAAGGAACTTCCTGACTAAGCCATATTGGAGCGGGCCTTGGGAGGAAGTTGCGGATTTTCTTCCTGGGCCCTGGGCCCCCTGGCATTGGTTGAATGCTGACAGATGATGACGCATTTCTTCAGCTCTTTTGTTTGTGACACAGTAAAGACAGAAGCTGATTTTTTATTTCTTACACTTTTTAAAATTGGTAATTTAATCCCATAGTTAAAAAATAAAAATATAAACATCTACATGAAGAGGATCCCTCCCGCTCCTAAACCCCTCCATCACCCAACCCTTCCCCAATAGGTGACCACTGGTGGTCTCTAGGCTCCTTCTGGAGCTCCTTTATGAAAACATGAATATGTCTTTGTGCTCGCCCCCTTTTTTCATATGTAAGGTAGCCTATTAAGACACACTATTAACCCTTCTTTTTCACTTCATATATCTTGGAGATCTCTCCATACCAGTTCATAAAGTTTCCTCATTCTTATTAACAGCTACACAGTATTTCAATGAATAGATGTACCTACCATCTTTTCTCTAATCAGCATGACAGTTTTTAAACCTCTATTTTGTATACAAGGAAACTGATGTCTGAGAGAAATAACCTAAGGTCACTCGAACTGGAATCCTGGTCTCTTGTTCCCCAGTCCAGTGCCCTTCTAGGGGTCCCAGAAAGCCCTGTTCTGAGCCACGCAGTTTGAGGCTGAACTTCACTCTTCCATGATCAAGTTCTGCCTCGTCTGTCTCTCCCTCTGTGTTCTGAGACTACCCCGTCCCAGCTCCTGCTGTCCCCTTCTGGGCTCGGAAGGTAGAAGGCTCTGCCCCTTCTTGAGGGAAGAAAGAAGTCTTACCTTTGTGTGACCAGTCCTTCCTAACCCGCAATGCTCTGTTCACGGCTTTGGAGGCGCAGCTGGTGCCTGGGCTGTAGACTGGCCAGTCTCCTTCTTTCTTTACCCCGACAGTGGGGCCAACAGGAGTCATCAGTCTTTAAATGTTGGGCCCCCTGGGGGCGATCCCTTACACAGGCTGCAGCTGCTCCAGCTGGATGGCTCACTGCTTTGGCAGGGTAGTAGGGGGCTTGCTGCAGGGGGGCAGGGAGGAGGTGGGGGGAAGTGAGGCTGGAGCCAAGGCTGGAGGAAATGTTGGGACATGGCAGGAACGCAGGTGGGAGGTTGAGGGTGGTGATCCAGGGGTACTTTACCTGTTCCCTTGTAGCAGAGGTTCTGGTTCTCACTACTGCTTGATGGGAACTCTCAGCTGAGGGGCTCAGGGTAGTGTATGTGTGTGCACATATGCGCGCGTGTGTGCATGCACACACTCATGTACATGTGCACGTACAGTCCAATGGGAAAGTCTACGGGTCTGCCATTTTGCAAAAATACAAGGGGTCACCATTCATATCGCATTCTACGGGGAGATGAGGGAAACGTTAGCTCTCCGTCCCTGCCACTCCTACAGCCCAATCCCCCAACCTAGGTAGAAGGGTAGGAGGACCCATCCTCCTGTTGGGAGGATGGCTGGAAAGCATGCCCCCCTTCCTTCTGGGACCTCCAGCTGTCTGTGGCATATTTGCATGCCTCGTTCCTCATCCAGCCTACACAAGGTTCTGGTACTCGTAAGGACCTGCCGATTGGTCAGCAGGCCTGCTCTGGGTCCCGCTCCTGACCTGAAGTGACTCCTGCCTGCTGGTAGTCACATCACAGCTACTCTAGCTGCATCCCTGGGGGCAGGGGCAAGTATAGAACAGGAGTGTCCAGGATCTGGGGCCACAGCAGATTCCTTGGGCCCCCTGGGAGGGGCTGCTCTCAGCCCAGGCCTTAAAAGGGAATTTGCTGGGTTGCAGCTGTTGTTGGGACCTGAAGGGCTACCATGGGATAAGTGTGCTGGCCAACAGGGAGGGGCTGCTGGTGACCCGAATGTCCCTCTGCCCCAGTCTTGGCTTTCTCTGGTCTGTCAGAGCTGGTGGCCTGGCAGCCACTTTGCTTTCTGTACAAGCCTTCCACACCTGTCCTTGAGGCTCTCCATGGCCCAGGGCTCTTGGCTGGATTGGAGTGAGGGTGTGTGAGAATCCTGTCCAATGGATTTCCATTGGCTTTTCAAATCTGGATTTGATCCATACTCCCAATATCCACATAGGGGTGTTAAGGAGCTTGAGCGCCAGGCTCTGAGTGTGTGACTGTGAGTGAGTGTGTGTGTGTGTGTGTGTGTGTGTGTGTGTGTGTACACACTAGGAGGAGAATGAAGACTGTGGTATACCGGGGGGCAGGGAGTGGAGGGGAGAGGCAATCACACAAACCCAGGAGGCTGGTTTTGCTCAAAATGCTCTGTTTATTGCTCTATTCAATGACCACGAGCAAATTATAAAAAGACACCGAGTGTCTCTGTCTGCCGTGGAATAAATATTTAAAGTCAGCAATAAAAACACGTGGCTCCAAGATAACACATGTTGCCAAAGAGTCATGCATACCCTGATGACGGGCTCTCAACACGCATGAACACGGGAACACACGCAGAGCTATACGCAGCAAGACTTCTGGGAAGGCTTTTCCACAGTAACACAGAAAAATGTTTCACACAGATCTGGGGCCGAGTCCCCACCCCACTCTCGGTGCTCCCCCTCTCCCTCCCGCCCCACCAGGGCCCAGGTCCTCTGGGTTCACGGCCCCCATTCGTCCCCTTCCTCCCCAATGCCTCAGGCTAATCACTGCCTCCTGAGGGCATCTGACACTCAGAGGCCATACAGGCTGTGATACTCCTCTCCCCACCAATCCAGAGAGCTCTCCCCACACTGAGATCTCCCTCTCCTCTCAGAAGCACCCCATGCCTGACCTCCAGGTCCTCAGGGCCCTCTCCCCACTCTGGTCCCAGTGACTGGAGGCAAAATGCAATCTGCCTGTTGGGAGAAGTGGGGTAGGGGCCTGAGGCAGGCACCTCTGCCTGGGCTACTTAGGGGCTGGAGCTCATTACCCCTTTCCCGGGCTGAGGAGACACAGTGTCCGGTACAGACAGCAGAGATGGATGGATAGACAGACAGAATACGCTGTGGTAGGACACTTGGAGTGCGACACAGAAACATTTTGGGTCAAGTAGCAATGGAACCGTCATTAAAAACTGCGGCCCCAGGTCTGAATGGTGTGTGTGTCAGGTCCTGGGGCCCCAGGCCTGGCCTGGCACATTCCTCCCCCGCCCTACCCTACTCCCCAGTATATACAGTAGGAAGAGCTATGTTGGGGGGCAGGGGCCAGGCTGAAGAGAAGGAAGCAGGAGAGGCAGGGCAGGGAGCAGGGGTGGCTGGGGTAAGGGCCCAGATTCAGGCTGGGTGGTGCCCAGAGGACCTCAGAGGAGGAGTGAGGTCACTCTGGGGACTGGCGGGACAGCTGCTTCTCATAGAGGCTCATGACATGGTGCACAAACTGGTACTGCTCGCAGGTCTGGATCATGCCGCCCCTGCCCAGCAGAGACACACAGTGGGGATGGGGTGGTCGAGGGATGGGCTGTGGGAGGGTGCCCCCCCAAACCCATGGAGTACCAATCATTCACGAGTGGCCTTGTCTTTATTCAGCTTGGAGAGGCCAACCCTTTCCAGCCACTTCCCTCTGCTCCTCCTTGTCCCTCCCAGCTCTGGCACAGATAGCAGAACAGAGATGACATGTCCCACCATTCTCAGCCCCTAGCCTTCTGGCCACCAGCTATTTCTTTTCCCTCTTTATCCAGCCACCAGCTTCCCAGAACCAGTGCCTGTTCCCATCTGTCTTCCCTACCTCATGTCAGCCAGCCGGTCCATACCTGGCGTGTCCACCTGCCCCTCACCCCGTGCACGTGTCAGTCTCTCCCTTCTGCCCCTAAGGCTCTAGCTCTTCATGTGCCCCTGCCCCGCCTGTGGGCTGACCTGTCCTGACGGAGCTGGCACGTGGTCTTCAGGATGTCCACCACACCCTCCTGCCGCAGCTGCTGGCAGCAGATGCTGGTGGCAATGAAGCAGCCAGTCCTCCCAATCCCTGCGCTGAGGGCCGAGGGGATGGGCGGGGTGAGGGGGGCGAGGCAGCTGTCGGGGGTGCTGCCCGGCCCTGGCTGGTGGCTAGGAGGACCCACCTGCAGTGGACGATGATGGGGGCGCAGTGAGGCCCCTCCTGCTGGGTGGCCTCCTCCACCTCTCGAACCAGGTGTAGGAGTGGGGGGGCCCGGTCTGGAGTCTTCTGGTCAGGCCAGGATGTGAACCAGTAATGCTTCAGGCCTCGCTCTTCAGTCCCGCTCTGTCCAGGAGACAGAGGCCCACCCCAGATACATTTGAGCTCTCTGAGCGCACAAACCAGCCCAGAGATGGAGATGGGATTGGAGGAGGAAGAACATAAGAGGGAGGACACAGGGTGTGGGACCTCTGGCCTCGGCCATCTACATCACATCGCCCAGTGGTACCAGACAAGAGGCCCAACCCCAGCTTGGTAGTGGGAGCTGATCAGAGGGGTTAGTGTGGGTCTTCACATCGGTTCTGCCCCAGCAACTCCAGCGTCATCCGAGAGAGGCAAAGAGATCCTCTCCAATTCATTCCTGTTTCCCAGTTCCTTATCTTAACAAACAGCCCAGTCACCCCTTCGTCACATAACCAGAGCTCTGAGACCCTTCCTGTTGCCTCACTATGCTCGGCCAGCTCACCCCCACCCTTGGCAAGTGTTGCCACTTCCCTCCCTCTCCTCTAGGCCCCCTCCCTACCACCACCGCCTCTTCCACTTTGGCCTTTACCATCTCTCCCCTGTGTAGACCTCTCCCTCCCCCCAACAGCCCCATCTTCACACCAATCAAAATGGTCTGTCTACAGCACAAATCTGGACATGCTGCTCTGCTGCTCAGAAGCTTTCCATGGGTCTTACTGCTCTATGAGCAAAACCCACTCTCCTTAGTCTTCAGCTTGGCAAATAAAACACGTCTTGCAGGTTCTACCTTTCTAGACCCATCTCCCGCCTCTGCATACTGGTACTTGATGCTCCTGCACTCCTAATGGTTTGTAGATAAAACCTCTGCCCCGCCCCCCACCCCCCAAACACACACATATGCACATACAGTTGTCCTATCGTCCATGCCCTTACTTTCACATTATTCTCTGCCTGGAATGCTCTCCCCACTTGTTTGCCCCTTGGTCAACTCTCACTCATCCTTCAAAACCCCATACAGCATCACCACTTTCAGGAAGCCCTCCCTGAGCACCCCAGCTGGAGGAGTGTCCTTCTTCTGTGATCTTAACCTATCCCTAGCTCAGTACTTACCATTTTATGGGTGTTCCTTGAGGACAGTCCAGGCTTTGAACAGCTCTGTGTTCCCAGCACCCAAGCCAGAACTAGGGCAGTTTCTTGTAAAGGTTTATGGAAAGAAGTAAATACCTCCCAACCCCCAATGGCCCCAGTCAGTTCTTCCCTAACCAGTCCTATTGGCACTGACATGAGACGGCCCTCACCTCCCCTCGGCCTCTCTTTCTAGGTGAAAAGGAAGCTAATTCCTTGAGGCCCTGGGTTATCTGACTCTGACAGCTACCACAGCCCCTGGTCTCCCCACCTCCTGGCCCTTTCTGCCCTCTGGCCAGGCCTATACCTCAGAGCTGCTCAGGTGGAGATGGAACAGCTCAGAGGAACAAATCTCAGGCCTTGAGCTGGACCCCGTGGACCTCTCAAGCTATTTTTGGGTCGGGGGTCAGCTTTCTCGTGCCTGGCTCACCGCTTCCAGCTTTCGGGGTTATCACAGTGGCTCCGCGTTCCCCAAACATGGCTCATAACACTTCTCAAAAACAGAACACACTGATCCTCCAAAGGAACAGTCTCTTCTATTATGCTGCTCTTGGAAGAAGCACAACTTCAGGGTGGGAGGATGCCTCCCCCCACTCTTCTGGGCTGTTTTGTATTGCTCATATTTTGTGTTTTCCTTTTTTCTCTTTTCTGTAATCACAATCTCCTTATGCAACCCAAATGCAGCAAGGAGTGCCTGTCCTCTCGTGGACAGATTTGGTACTACAGGCCAGATGCCCAGTATCCCAGGTGAAGGGGATGCTTTTAGCTGGGATCTAAATGTCACCGTGGTTTTCAGTTATAAGAACACTGCTGGAGGCAGTTGAAGACGCCTTATCTAGACAGTCCTAGATTTGGGTGCATTTGAAGCAGAGCTGGAAGGCATTATGAATGACAGTGTATACACACAGAGAGCCTAATAGCATGAAATACAATTGAGGCTTGTCCTGTTTCTGGCCTCCAACCCCATTTACCCCTCCCTCATCCAGGCTCATCAGTAAATCCTAGGAGACACAGGCCTTCATTTCAGCTAGAGTGGACTTTGGGGCCCTGTGCTCTCTGGAGTCCTCAGCCAAGCTCCCACCCCCATCCTCCCTGCCCCGCCCATTCCCAGGCCTCACCCTGAGAGAGATGAGTCGCAGCCGGTAGTCCTCAGTGTGAATGACTTTCCGCACAGTGATCTCGACACCGTCATACACCACCTGCTCCTCTGGCCAGTACTCGGTGCACTTCTGTAGGGGCCCAGATCAGGATGCGATACCCTCCCAGTTCCCCGACCACGTTCTCCCCGGTGCCCCTCCAGGGTTGGCGAGGAGAGATATAAAAGGGCAAAAGGTTTGCAGTCAGAGTATTGGATTCAAATCTCATCTTCAGAACCTGTAAGTTTCTTCCCTTTTCTGAGCCTCAGTTTCCTCATCTGGAAAATGGGAGTAACAGCCATTTCAAAGGACTTTTCTAGGGGTTCAATTAAATGGGCTGTTACAGGTATAGAAGTAGCCAGCGTCAGCTCTGGGAGGCTGGGAGGCAGCAGAGCATCCTGCTTAAGATCTGCCTGGAGGTAGAGAGGCCACAGGCTCTGCCTCCGACTATCTGTGTGGCCCTGAGCAAACGACTTAACCTCGCTGAGCCTCATACTTCCTCACCTTGACAGGGGAGTGAACTACTAACTACTAACATCACAAGATTGTTGCAGGCATTAATAAGGAAACAAGACGCTTAGCATGGGCACAAAGCAGCCGACATCTGGTAATGATGCAGGGGTGCCTACCTACCTCATTCATCTCCTCGATGTTGGTGATCATGACAATGATAGGCGTGTGCTCCTGCCACACCATGCGCCAGAAGTCACCGACGGTGCTGACGATCGGTCCCTGAGTGGCGATGTACACCTTCTCCTCCCCACCGTAGCCCTGTGGCCAGCCAAGTCCAGGCTGTCAGGGTCAGGTGCAATGTTCCCGGGGCCCAGTCCCTATACTTGGGTTCCTCCCTGGGGCTGGCAGCAGCCACACTGGCTTAGGGACAAGCCGGGAAGATGGATCCCATCGGGTTGGGTCTCCTTTTCAGGGAGAGGCCGTCAGGATGGGACTACGTACCCGGATGTAGTTGGCGTTGATGTAGGAATTCAGAGAGTCATCAGGGTCTGGTGAGGTCAGACACACTCTGCTGTGAGGGTCTGGGGTAGGGGAGACAGGTGAGGTTGGGATCTGACATGTGTAATCCCTATGGGGCAGGGCCCACCTTGTCTGGTCCATTCACAGCACCCACGTTTCTTCTGGGACTCCCGAAGTTCCTTCTTCCCCTGCTCAGTAGCAAAACACTGATCCATCCCATGGCCCACTGAGGCAGATGAGGGCCCAGGCTGAAGAGGAGGGTAGAATGCGAGGCCTTGTGTCTCTGCCTCTGTGGCACCGATGCCTGCCCCTTGCCCGTCCATGTCCCTGAACCTCCCTATACTCACTGTGCCTTATGTTTTGGAGAAAAAAAAAAGCTAAGTACCTAGGGTTCACATCCTGGACGGCAAGAGTTTTGAGTATACACTCATCAACATGCTGTGCCCATTTGTAAAGCACACGGCCTTTCTAAGCCTCAGTTTTCCTGTCTGAGGGTAAAGATCCCTACTTCCTAGGAGTGTTGGGAAGATAAATGAGAAAGCAGCTGTGAAAGTGCTATGTAAACCGTAAAGTACTTTATAACTACAAAAGACTGTTAAGATATGGAGGATAAAAGCTGAGGGAGAACATTAGGATAAAAGGAGTAAAGCCTTCCACGTCTCAGATGAGACTGCAGGGTCTTAGCAACAGACACGTGTTTTTTTTTTTTTTTTTCTCTTCAATCTATTCTCATGTCGAACCTCATAACTTCCTGCTCTTCCTCCTGGAGTAGGATCTGTTTTGTTTCAGCTAGAGCCTCTCTGTATTGACTATTCTGTCAGCCTCCAGAAATTAGGACCGATATGGGGATGGTGTGTGGGGTGGGCAGGAAGGTAGCTGGGGGCCCGGGTTACTGGCTGTGGTCTAGCTTTGTCACCAGCTGTCTTATTCCTTCCTTGAGTCTCAGCTTCTCTCCTACAAAGGGAGGGCTGGATTAAAGGCACTTCCAGCATGCACAACATGAAACTCTCAAATGTGGCACAGGGGAGTGGTTAAGAGTCTACTCCTGAGCCAGAGAGCCTGGGTTCGAGTCCTGGCTCTGACTTACTAGCAGTGCCACAGTGGGCCATTTACTCTATCACCTCGTGCCTTATCTCTAAACATTGTGTTGCAAGGGAACATTCCTTGCAGCACAATGTCATCCTCATGTAAAGGGTAAAGGAGTGACCTTTACCAAGTCCTTAGACCGGTGACTTGGCCCAGCATACAGAAATACTACACAGCAGTTCACGGCTGTTATTATCACCATAATTACAAATTTTACCATGAGTTAATGAGTAAAAAGAATCATCCCAAACCCAGCAGGAGAAATGGCACAAGCTTTCTCTCTCCAGCTCTTTTATGCCCAGCCCCAGTGCCTGAGGTTTTGGCAGGCGATTTTGGGATGGGGGTAGGTGGGGGTGGGGCAGCTCTGTTGACAGGGGTACAGAGGGGTGTCAGCAGTGGACAAGAGTGAGGGTAAGAAGAGCAGGGGTAAACAGAAGAGGTGCTCTGGGTGACCAGCAGAAAAGAGGAGCAGGGAGTGATGCATGGGCCATCTCCCTTCTCCTTGTCAGAGCCTGCCCAGATTAGGTGCTGGAAGTGGGCACTGTCCCCTCTCGCAAGACACCGGGGTCTTTTAATATTAAAGAACCACTGTGAGAATGGGAATGGTCCTACTGACCGTAGTGAGCACAGCTTCTGTGCCTGGCACTGCGCATGAGAGTAGAATCTCTTACATAAACAAGATACAGTCCCTGTCTCCAAGGACTGCGCAGGCTGACAAGTAGTGTGAGCACCGGAGATGAGGGGATAGAGGGGCCCTTAGATTTGTCTAGGGTGGTAAGGCTTCCTGTGCTGGGTTTGAGGGACCAGTAGAAGTAGCAGGGAACACCGTTATGTCTGATTCAAGTACACAGGGCAAGGTGGGGCCTGGTGAGAGATGAGCTAGAGAGGAACCTATTGACAAAGGGTCTTATAAACCACACTTACAAGGCTGGACCTAAACCCAAGGATTACAGAGTGACCCAAGTGTTTGAGGAGGAGAATGACACAACTGGGTGTCTGTTTTGCATAATTTTGGTGACATGGTGGAAAATGGACAGGAGAGAATGTGGGAGGCAGGAGACTAGTCAGAAGATTACTGCAATGATCCAAGTAACAAGTGTCAGGGGTCAGAGGGCACATGTCATTGCAGTCTGTGTAAAAGGCACCCCCGGAAACTGGGCAACATAGAAAGCCCAACACCCAAAAAGTCATTTATTTGGCCGTGAGGATGGAGAGGGGGAGCTGGATGTGATAGGTATTCATTCATTCATTTGCACTCATTCATTCACCCATTCATTCACTCATTCAGATAGGTGCAGAATGTCTACTATGTGCCAGGCACTATTTCAGTGCTTGGAACACAGTAGCAAAATAGAAATTGTTCTCCTGCATCTTTGTGCTGCCTGCTGGGTTACTGGTGATTCTGTACTGTAACCGTCCACAGATCTGTCTCTCCCACTAGCCTGTGAGCTTCCTAAGGGCAGAGTCTGTGCCTCATTCATGTCTGAATTTTCAGCCATGGGGGTAGGGGCTCAGGAAACATGTGCAGAATGAAGGTGAGAACAAACCTTAGGGTGTCCTAGATCTGAAAGGGGACCTCTGCCAAAACCGACCTGCCTTCTTGTCACCTGCCCCCCACTGTTTCTATCCCAGTCTCTGAGGGCACAGGGTCAATTCTTCTTGGCTACAGAGAAGGTTCTCTGTTGGGCTCAGAGGCCTGGAGGCTCAGGGCACCACTGGAGGTGGCTCAAGACCTCTTAGCAATCCAGTGCCAGGTGGAGTAATGGCCTAGCTCCATCCTCCCCCAGGGGCCATTCTGAGTGACCAGCAAAGACCTAGGTTCTGGGGTACCTGAGCCACTCCCTCCAGGTGGGCCTAGGTGGGTGGTGGGGAGCAAGATGAAGGAAGAGGTGAGCAGCCCTGCATAATGCATCCTGGCCTTAAACGGTGCTTTGTTTAACCGGAACTACCTAGAGACTGTGTAACCATAGCAACCACAAGTCGATATTTTAAAAGTTAAAAATAAGTCATGACATCTTACATGTTGTTAGAGATGCTGATGGCAAAACTGCTTTTTTAAAGCCTCGTCACTCCATAAACTGAGAGGAGTACGTTTGTGGGGATTCACTTTCAACAAGTTACCCCCCAAGCTAGCCCTCGGGCCTGGGGCCAGAACATGGCAGGGTGATAGGCACACAGGGGCTTGATTAAAGTTACCTGAAAATGACATGCTAGGGCTGGAAAAGAAACATTTGGTCACCTGTTCTAACCACCCCCGAAGGAGGAAAATTCCTATCAGAACTTCCAGGAGACCGCTCACACAGCCTTGCTTGAACATTTTGACTGATGGGCGCCTACTATCCAACAGGCTGCTCATTTCCTTATAGGGTGGCTCTGCCTCTTAGAGGACGCACAATCTGGACTAACTAAACTTGAGACAGATAAAAGAGCCAAATCCTGGCATCCCAGAGGCCTGATGTAAAACTCAGTTCTGTACTTCCTGGCTGTGTGACTGTGGATGAGCCACTTAACGTCTCTGAGCCTTAATCTTCACCCCTCAAAATCTGCCCACTCTGAAAAGCCAAAGGATGTGAAAACGCTTTGGTCACCACGCGCTGTGTAGGAGCTGCTGTTATCGGCGCTCTTTCTTTCTGGGTTTCCACAGAGCCCAGCACAACACTTGTCCAGGGCAATAGTCTGGAGAGTGCTGTGTGAAGGAGTGAACTAACCTCTGCCCTCACCAGGAGGCTCCCGCCCTCTGTCCCTTCTCCTCATGACCCTGGAGGCAGCTCTGAGTTAAGGTCTTCCTCAGGGTGAGGGTGCACCTAAGTGAGGGTGTACCTGCGCCCACCCCCGGGGCAGTGAGTACTCACTGGGAAGGATGGTTTTGTATCGGTTCTTCCGCACCAGCCCAGGGATGTCGTACTCTTTTGGATCCACGAAGTTCATGGGGATTTCCTGCAGGAGGAGGACACGGGGGTGTGAGTAGCTAGGGGTGGCTCTCACAGATGTTTGAATCCAGGGGCTGCTGTGCCCCCAACATCTACTACCGGGGCTGGCTTAAGTGCATGGAGTCATTCAACAAACACTACTATAAAATGAGTTCGTGTACATAAAAAGCATTTAGAACAGTGTCTGGCACACACTGAATGCATAATAAATGTTATTATGACTACTGTTTATTGAGGGCCAGTCTGGCACATAGCAGACCTCAATAAATGGCTGATGAACAAAGAACCACAGAAAACGCTACCTGGCCCATCAGTCACTGCCTTCTTCCGCACTCCCTGTGCTGCAGCCACAAAGTGGCTTTGTAGATCCGTGTTCCCCACCTCAGGACCTTAGGTTGTGTGGTTTGCTCTGTCATAATATCCACCCCATTCTCATCTTCTCATGTCCTATCTGTCTTAAATGCCATCTCCTCCAAGAAGCCTTCCCTGATTCTCTAGCAAGAAAAGGAGCCTCCTTCTGAGCTCCTAGGGCTGTATGTGCACCTCTCAATCACATTCTGTGTCAGGAGCTCCAAGTCTGAACTTCCCTGCTTGGAATGTGAGGTCTTCTGGGATCTGGGCTTTCTTTACCACCAGCTTGCTCTCAAGAGACCCACTCTCTAGCAATGCTGGTCTCTTCCTATTGCTAACATGCCATTCTCCATCTTACCTCCAGGTCTCAGCTCACGGCATTCCATTTGCAGGGAACACCTCTCTTCAACCTCCAAATCATTCCACCCTGGAAAGTTCCCCTCCAGCATCACCTTCCCCCGTGTCCTTGGCATTCCATTTGCAGGGAACACCTCTCTCCAAATCATTCCACCCTGTAAAGTTCCCCTCCAGCATCACCTTCCCCCGTGTCCTCTGCGATGACTTCCCAGTGTCTCTTGCCTCTTCACTCCCTTTCTCTGTCCACACAGTTTAGCATGTGACCACAAAATTTTATAGCGTTCACTGTGTTTGGACCCACTGAGTATATGCTTTGTAAAATGAGGATTGTAATACTCACTTTCTAGGGTTGTTGAGAATCAAAAGAATAAAAGACATGTGCAAAAACACCCATGGAGTGGATGTGCAGGCTGTGTTCCTTTCTCTGGGCAAAACTGGCGATCTACTGAACAGGAAATGATAGGAAGGATGCAACCCCTTTCTTCAAGGGGAGGTGATGGCGGTGGGAACTTAGAGCGGGAGCAGATAGATGCTGGGCTGGTCCAGGAAGGCTGTCTAGGGGCATCCAGGGTGG